AAAAAGTCTCATTTAGGTATTAAGAGTTGAATACAATTATAATGGTAGATGAAATGATTATGGTTTAAAATTAGATCAAGTAGAGATAATAGTGTCATATTCATAAAGCAGTGAAGAAAGGGATAAACAATAGAAAATATATTATTTGGACTTTAAAAACTAAAAATATATGCTAAAAATAATAATTTTTTTGAACATACTATTTCTAAGCAAGAATAGAGTAAAAAAGACTTCTAAAAGGTCCCTTAACAATCTCTCATAAGAATGTATTAAGGACTTAAGAAAAATAATTAAATAAATAAATAAATTATAGATCAATGTCATATTGTGATACGACTATATGATAAAAATATAATCAAAAATAAATTTCTAATTAATATCTAATCATCTTGATTCAATAATAATTCAAGATATTTAAATATGGCTTTTATAAATGCTTCTTAGTTTATTTTCTTGTCTTAATAGTTAGTAGATTAAAGGCTGGTTAGTAATTTTACCTTCTAGATTGTAGAAACTCTTTTACTACCTTAGAAAGGCCATAAACTGATAAAACTAAATTAAAAGACATAAATAATTAGCATGGTTGATACTAAGATTAAGTTGAGGATAGGAGTGGACTAAAAAATCCCTAAGATAGGTTAAATTGATATCCAAAGGTCGATCATTTGTGGGACAGGGTCAAAATTAGACCTTTAGCTACTAAAACAACCGCCTAGGGCAAAGTAGGAGGGCATTTGAAGATTGGAAATTAGGATTTGGGAGCTAACTTGAATTTAATACTAAAGGTATAAGGCTTATTTTAAAAAGGTTTGAAATGACTTTGCAATTGGTATTCAAAGTCAAGATTTGTATTGGTAATTTGGAATTTATGCAATATAATTAAAGCTAGTACTCTTAGCTAGTTCATGCAATTGGTATTACATCTATAGTTCAAAATTTGTCAATACTTGATTGATTGGATGTACTAAGCGTGTATAAAATTTTGTATCGATCTAATTGTGCAATTGAGAGATATTTGGATTTTGATACAAGAGAGTATTAGAAGTTGGCAACTCAGGATTGGATAGGATTTCTATTATATCTAAAGACCTACTAGTTGGATCAAAGTGAAATTTAGCATGGTCTTAGAAGACTTCAATATAAAGCTATATAATAATTTTGAATTGAATTTAATAGTTATAGAAGTAGAAATTGCTATTGAAACATTTGCATCAACTTTCAAGTTAATAGCTAAGTAACAGCAATGCAATTTTTGGGCTTTTTCTCACAATCTGTAAGCTAGATTGGATTGAATTTTTTAAATATATAGAAGGTTCATAGTGGCATTTGTATGCAAAATTTTGCACTAAGAAGACAATCAAATTAGGAATTACAGCTTGCCAAAGCTCACTAATTAAGATTAGGACTTTCAAGGAAAAATCAAAATTATCTAATTATGAAAATAATAAGACAATTAGGATTTATGTATAATTGAGGTTACTCAAAAAAGTATTTTTGAACACTTTGTATTGACTTTAAGTACTTTTGAATTAAAATTAAAATTTCATTCTTCTTATATGGATGAAATCTATTAGAGTTTCTTAGATATTTGTAAAGCACAACACCTTCTACAGCCAGGTGCTTGGTACATTTCCAAACAAGACAATATGTATTATGATACTAGTGACCTACTTTATTAGACTAATCTAAGTTGTGCAAGTTCTAATTTGGATGGTTTTAAATTAAGCAGGTTATGCCAACGGTATTGGGTAGACAAAATATGAAGCACCAAAATTTGAATGTGACAAAATTAATCAAGTCAAGAAGGCGAGGCGGTAGAAGGTATGGTATATAGTAAAAAAGGAAGTTGAGCTATGGTGGATCTCGTTGAGGACATATATGTTGTTTAGAAAGTTTTATGCTCAGGTAGAAGTGGACATTGTCAAATAGGATAGCAATTTGTATTCGAATTACATAGAAGATCAAATTGTGATTTAATTTTAGAGGATGAGTACGAGAATCTAAGAAAAAAAAGGTGAGGGTTAGAGCAAAAAGAAGTTGTTGATTATAAGCATGTAAGTAGATCCAAATTAGTAGAGAAGATTGTCAATTAAGAAGAAGAGGGCATATCAATTTTAGAGGAGCTCAAGTTGACTAAAAGAGAAGCAATGATGGTACTGTACTGGATTGGTATTGACAGATCTAAGCTATGCGGCCATTTTAAAAGAAACAATGAATTGAAGGCATTTTTATTGAAGAAAATCAAAGCTGTGGTATTGCGGGGATATCGAGACAATTTCGTAGCAACAAGGGTAGGCATGGCTTTGGAGTTGATGACCATGGTAGATTAGCCGTGATTCACCATGTTGTTGTAAGGTGATAGTTGATTTCTAGTAGCAGTTAGACAGCAAGTTTGAAAAGGTTCTTATACATATTTTTGGTGTGATAATAAACAACAGTGGTATTATGATCAATGTTTTAGTATGGTCGTTTCTTTGCTAAAGAAAGTGATACATGTAAAAACTCTCATGAGTTGATTGCTAGATAGTTTAAATAAATAATATATTAAAATAATATATATAATAATACTAAATAATAAATAAATATAAATAAATATATAAATTAAAAATTAAAATAAATAAATAAATAAATAAATATAAATACTTATATAAATAAGTAAATTAAACAAATAATATATATATATATATATATATATATATATATATAATCATTTGTAAATAATGATTAAGATATAAAAGATATTTAGCCTTATGTAAGAAAAAGTTACTCCATGAGACTACCAAACGCAATTAAGATAGATTGATTTTACTAACAATGTCACAATGCATCATGTTTGTACAATATCAAATAGAAAAGTTTTAAGTACCATTTGCTACAAGAAAATTCTTTACTAATGTATATAATCTGGTCCAAATGTGTAGTACTAAAGCTCTTCTTTCTTTGATCACACCTAAGCGGATACTTACTAATGCAACAATTTGTCATCAAATGGAATATGGCAAATTTGAGCATTAAGAGAGATGTGATGGTAGAGCCAAAGAATGATTAAAAGGGCAAATATGGTTAAATGCATGATGGATTTATATTGAGCGTTGGTAGTGGTTTGAAAGCTAAAGTTACATTATTGCCATCACTCATGCATTGACAACAATGATGGTTCAATGTACAAAAACACAAAAATATACATTTAAATAAAACCACACTTTTTTAGTTCAGAGCCATGAAATCCTCTATCATATGTCAAGCTTGCAAGATTCAACCATTGACTTTATTATAGAGCTTGAACCAAATGCAATCTATTCTGATGCAAATTAATGCATTAGTTATTATTGTCATCATTGGAACATAGAGTTCTAAACTGACTTTTGCCTTTTAGATTTGTTTTGCAATCTATGCATCAATAGTCTTGAAATGTTGTGGTTTTATTCTTTTTACGTTTGGAGATTCAGTGGTAGAGTCTAAAGATATAGATCTTAATTAATAGCAATGGTAACAACATCCTAAAGATTTCATTATCAAAGATAAAGACCACTTCTATTTGGTTTAGTTTTGTTGTATTTGATGAAACCATCACTTAACTATGTATAATAACTATATATATATATATATATATATATATTTTAGCTAAATTAATTAACCTAATTGAAGTCTAATGTAAACTACTCAAATTTAAAAAGCTTGTATGTAAGTACTACTATCTGATTAGTTCAGTAGCAAGTGATAATTTCTACATTTTTTTCAATTTTACACATATATATATATATATATATATATATAGAAATTTATCACATTAGAATTAAGATTTTTTTTGTTAAGGTTATAAATTAAATCAAATCAAAATGACTATTTTAAAAATATTTTTTTACTTATTTAGATTTATTTTTTTCGTCACCTTGTGACAATACCATTCTTGAGTTGTATTTCATGCAATTAAGTATTTTTTTCTATTGGTTTCATAAATAAATAAATATATATATATATTTAAAAATATTTTTTTCTGATTTTTATTAAAAATTGTCTATGTACCTCCTAAGATCCATGACTTATATATATATATATATATATATATATACATATGAATATTTCCAAAAAAATGACTTATTTTAAAACTTGTATTATAGTCATTTTTGTGAATTAATGTTATATCATTCTGAGATTTTGGATATTTTTATGGCTTTGTGTAGAGGGTTCTTGCCTTCATAAAATCACTTTTTTGTACTCAAATACTTTACTCAATATTAATTCTACAAATGTCTCATCATAAGAAAGAAAACAGAAAAAAAAAGAAAAAAGAAAAATGTTTATTTCTACAGGAGTTGGAAAAATAAATTCACTTCCAAAAATAATCACATGCATTCAAAAGAGTGAGAATATATATATATATATATATATATATATATATATATATATAATACAAAATAGATAGCTAAGAAATGTTTATATGAAACAAATTCCTCATTTATGTTGATTGTGAGTAGATCACGTTAATTTTTTCCTGATTATATATAAATGCTTAGGCATTTGATAAAGCATAAAAAACTCAAAATCCAAATATAATTACATTTGACAAGATTTTTATTTATTGAATTATTTATTACTATTTTTTAGTTCACAAAACTCCTTTGTAATAACTCTGCTATAAAAAAAATTTATTTTAAAAAAAATTATTTTAAAGCATGTTAATGCACACAATATTTTAGAATTTTTTTAAAATGAAAAAACAGGATCACATTAAAGTGAGTAAGGGTATGCCACGTGAGCAGCCACGTCATTCTACTCATCTTACCTCCAGTTCCCCTTGATGGGGAATAGCGTTCGCAGTTATTCATCTCGTGGGTGAATGCGACCCTCTTACGCATAGATGGATGAAGGCACTACAGATAAGTCTGATGACGCTGGATGATTCAGATCTGACTCACGTCCACGTGGAACTGCATCCACGACACCAACGAATTCAGCGACGAATGAATTTCGTCCGCTGTAGTTATTTCGAGAGTCGATCACCACTAACGGCGAAGGCTGGATTCGGTCTCGACCTGCTTCGGAGTTCTGCTTGGGCTCGCACCGCATTGCGGTCTGGTTGTGTGTTGTTGCTGTGAATATGGGATGAATTTCCTGATGCGCCAATTCATCGCATCACGAGGAATATTTTGAGCTAAAATTTGCTCATTCCTATGGTCATTTCGATTAGCACTTGCGTTTTTTGTGAAGAGCGCCGGGGGTGATAATTGTTGTAAGGCCTTGGAGCGTAATGGCGATGGCTTGTGGCAATCGCTTGGCGTCATCGGAGTTGTTACGCGAGAGTTTCTCAGGCGCGGGTCCGTCGGGAGCCGAAAGAGTTGATGCCGGGCGCGCCTCCTCGTCGCAGCTTCTTCATTGTGGTTGTGGTTTGATGAGGACCTTCCAGTTTCCTGCATTGTCTGTGGTGAGTCTCACTCAGCTCTATTGTGCGGGGTCATGCTGTGTGGTAATTGTTTTGGGCGCGATTTTGGTTCAGTAGATAGGAGTTGCTTGAACTGAACTGTTGTTGATGGCAGGGTACACGCTCGGTGTAGAGTGCATTGTGAATGGTTCGTTGATATGTAGGAACGTAAGTGACAGAGAGAGTCATTGTGAAGAGCTGGATTGAAGTTTTTCGTAGATCGTCTCAAATTTCGGCGTTGAACGCATTTCCGTGGTCCACTGTGATCAGTCAACGTTGTCTTCAGTGGTGATACTTGTCGTGAGATGAATTCATAAAACTTTGTAGATTTTCTGCCGGAAGTTGTTGTGATTCAGTAGTTATTCACTCCTCTCTTCTAATTTGTGAAGAATTACCCGGATACAGCTTTGCTTTAGCACTTCAAATTTAGAGTTGAAGTGTCTGATACAGATCAAGGAGTGTAATGTTAGTACACATTATTCCCTACGTATTGGATTCTTATGGTAAGGAGATTGTACGCTTTCTACTCAAAGAGTCTGTGAGGATTTAAAGTTCCCTCCGTGTCCAGCAGTGCTACCACTTTCGTCATGAAAGAGGTGCTTGTTTCATAATCAGTCTCGATGTTTTGAGCAATTATGGCTGTAGTTGGCATTAATTTGTGAACATTAATTGCAGGCAGAGGAGTCTAGATCATCGTTTTCACAAAACTTAATATGTCGTGTACAAGGATCCAAAGCGCAGCATGTGAATGCTGTAGCTGAAGCCCTCAATCAAACAAGATGTGTATTTCAATTCTTGTATTTGGGTCTTGGATTGTGTTCCAAGTTGTATGGTGTTTATTTTTCCTTGTTTATTTTAGGAGTATAGGCGTGCACAATACAGTAGGACTCGAGATAGTGGTTCCAGTGTAATTTTGTTGCATTTAAAAATGTAAATTCGATTAGAAGGTCCATCGCTAACGAGTTGGTAATGCATGGTGCACTAGGATGAAACGTTCTAGAGGCAAGTCTTGTTGTGTAATAGCGCCTTTCTATATCCCTTTCCTGAGTTATACGAGCTTGTACTTTTGAAAGAAATTTTCTTGCTTTAGGCTGTGCACCCAGTGCAATGGGTATGAATGCTAGACATTGGTCTGAATGTTATTGTATTGCTGAAGCTTAAGGTTATACCCTAGATTGCTCGTTATTCATTGCTCAAATTCTTATCCCAGCTTGCTACCACTATCAATCAATTGTGAATCGCTCAAAAACTAACGGTTTGTCAATAAAAGAGTATGAAGATAGTATTTACGGATAAAGTTTCCTTGGAAACTGATTCTCCTAATTGAACAGAAACTGGTTGCTGTGGATGGAGTTGTTATTCATGTTTGTCTAAGAGACGTAGAGCGGCACGGCGGTATGAACCAGAATTCACAATAAAGAGTAGTGAAGTTATAAACATTAAGGACGGTGTGGTGAAGGCTGCAGGCTGAACTTCTTGATAATAAATCGGGAAAGAGTACCATTTTGTGTGCAACGTCGTGCCACTTATGCTCGACTTCACATTAAGATAGAATTCAAAAGAATGTGGGTATTACGCTTGAGTTTGTTAAAGGATAGCAACAGCAATGTTGTCCGGAAATAAAAATGAAGTTCCTACAATATCCCGTGATCTTTCTTTGGAGAGTAATTATGCGTGATATACTTATGTAGAAGTTTTTTTGTTAGTTTTTTGTTACGTAAAATAAATGCTCGCTGATTATGGAATGTGCTAATAATTATTTGGTTGATCCCCTTTGACTGACAATGGTATGCACTTCCTTCACAAATGCCTGGTTGTAATTACTAATGCAAGTACTCTGGTTATATGGATTGTGTGGCAGTGAATTGGACACATTTGAAAGGGTTGACTGAGACAACTTTGGATTTTTTGCGCGTCCTACGGATTTCATGTATGTTATGAAAGGCGACCTTCAGGGCATTTGGCAGGAGGGAGAGTTAAAACCATATGGAAATTTGCAAGTCAATCCAGCCGCTGGAGTGTTGAATTATGGACAGGTGAGCTAATCAAAAGATGGCTGTCTGTGTTAATGACCAGTTGTGTTATGTGAAGGGGAATCAAGGTGCTTTGTTTGTGGTTCTTTGTGATAGCCTGTTCTTTAAGTGGCACAGCATTTACTGGTGCACAAACTCAGTATAACTCGTGGTGCTCTTTAGTATTAGGATGTGCTCAATTACGTTTAGTCTGCCCTGAAATGAAAAGTCCAGGAGTGTCAGAATCTGTGGGAGTGTAGACTTTGGTTTCCACGTTTTAGTCCAAGGACATGTGAAACACCATACAGCTTTCTATTTTGCGATAGTTACTTTGTATTTTTGGAATAGTAATATATGATAATGTAACGGTGGCTCGTACGTGTTGCTAGCAATGCAGGCCGAAGCACTCCCCTTGGTGGAAGCGCTCGACCTTGTGGAAGACGACTTATCAGCCATGTACGTTATCCATCCTTTACGCCGTGTCCCACAGGTTTATGTTGCCGTTCATGGAGGACAAAGGTGCAGATCATGTATTTCATGGCTTTTTTCTTTTGCAGATTTCCGGGAGGAGTTCCATGGAAGAATTACTCTGGCGAACTTGATGGTCTTAATGTTCACATAGTTGTTCCTGGAAAGGACAAAGCCTTAGGTTTGCACTCATTTAACGTTTTGATACGGTGAACTAAACTCCTGATAAAAAGCATCTTTGACATCCTTATCAAAGGTGCAATTTTCTAATTTCATGCCTAGTGAAAATTCACCTCATTCAAAAAGTTTCTCTCAAGCGACATGTGAAGTTTGTCTTTATTTTTCACCTAGGCGTGGATAGCGTGGGAACTGTTCCTTCTTTTTTGCTGACATACGCAACTGGTGTAGCTCTACAACCTAATTTGATCATCAATGCTGGCACTGCGGGTGGATTCCAGGTTACTTCATTGTTTTTTTCAATTCGTTTGTTCTTGCATCTGCTTTTAGGCATTTTCTTGTTCAGATCTACATTATGCGCATCTCTGTTTAACATGTCGCACAAGCCCTTTGACCAGATTTATCATAATTTTTGTAAAATGTAGCCTTGCAGCGTTGCTGCAATTTTCATACAAAGAAACCCAGTAACTTCCACAATCGATAAAAACGATAGCATTAAAGCAACAGACTTTTTCTATATGTTTATTCTTTTCTTTTTTCCCTGAGCAATTCATTCCTTGAACTTCTAGATTTTATTTTTTGCTAACCATGATGACATCTTTGAGCTATGAGACCGCTTATAGTTTATTGGTTAATCTTCCAGGCAAAGGGAGCCAACATTGGCGATGTCTATGTTGCAACAGAGTTTGCCAATCGTGACCGTAGGATACCCATCCCTGTGCGTAAAGAGAATGAACCTCATCTGAATTTTATTTGTTTAATGCTTGGAGTTTGTGGAGTTCTGAGCACTGATGTGTTACGGCAGTGGTAATCAGGCTGACCTCCATTTAACATTCCTACAGGTATTTGATAAGTACGGAATTGGGACCATAGAAGCCATTCCTACTGGCAACCTCATCAAAGACCTTGACCTGAAGGTGAGCCATGGCAGGATCTGAAGGTGTCTTGTTTATGATAACGTTATCAGGCAGTTGGATTGCTGTGTTTTCGTTTAGCCTGTCAACTGGATGTCCACAACCCAACCTACTTGCTTTCTTGAATGTACGTGTTAGGAAGGAAAGGTATCCACTGGAAACTCCTTGGACATGACGCTGCAAGACGAGGAACACATAAAAGCCAACGATGCAACTGTCAAAGACATGGAGGTCAGTGCACATAAGAGGGGGCATAGACCACAAATCTACCTACCTTCTTCTCTCTGGAATATTTTGAACGAACAGCTTCGTGGGCTTTAATGCCATGCTTGTAGCTTTCGTTAATGTGGTTCTGAAAGATTCCTGGGGCCTTGTGCTGTAGGGTGCGGGAGTAGCGTACGCAGCGAATCTGTTGGCTATTCCCATGATCTCCTTGAAGGCCATAACAGACATTGTGGATGGCACCAAGCCAACGGTGGAGGAGTTCCTTGAGAATATGTCAACAGCTGCATCGGCCTTGTCCAGGACTGTGCCTCCAGTGCTGAAATATGTGTCAGGGAAGAATGTTGCCGACCTTGTTTGTTCATGAAGGTCATTTCTTGATCTCTGTCGGAAACATCTCTAGGTCCTCACCATCTTTAACTTATTAGTCGCCCTTCGATTGGATGCATGGGATGTTGGGCTTCCAGTTGTCGATGACTCTTCGTTTATATTTTGCTCCGAATGCACCAGATCTTGTCTTCTGCTAAATGGTACTATTCATGAAGGTCCATTTAGCACTAAATTCTTGTAGACATTGATAGGCCTCCGAAAGATGGTTTGAGCTGGTGGGTTGGAAGGTACTTGTGCTGCAGTTGAGAGTCGGTCATAAATATACCTTGATATTGGGGAAGTGCGACGTATTGATACATGTAGGAAGAGCTTTGACCATTGAATTCAATGAAGCTGAAAACTGGACTTTTATGGGCACTGCTACAATGTGAAGTACGTAGCGTTGAATTCGTCTGTAGTAAGGACAATTTTATATTGTGCCTACGTAATTCTGATTTTCTTAGCTTTGTTGGTAAACTCTACTGACTACTGAGGTCTATTCATCCATTTAACATGAAAGCCAGCATCTATTGTCTGGAATTCATCTACTAAATTGGCTTTTGAGCCACATTTCGTGTATGCAAATAAACCAAAGGTTTCTGTTGAGGTTGTATCATTTTGGGATCGTATCAAAACTGTTTGTTGAGTCCCAACTTTAGATGCTCAAGTCATTTTCAAGTCAATGGTGTTTTTCCTCTATTTTCCACAAAATAATTCTATATCTTTTCATGAATACATTGTAAAGCATTTGTTTACTGAACCAACAATGCAAGCAAAGTTACAAATGTGAAGTTCCTTAATAGAGTTTAACTTGAAAAAATTGCCAAAAATAACATGTAAAAAAATATATATATATATATATATATATATATATATAATTTTATTTCTAAATAAGTTTTTAGGACAATTGTAGTATATAGTACAATCCACACTTGTAGCCTACTAAGTTCTTTAGGTTTAATATCTTATCTTAACAACTTTCTATAATAAATTTAATATTTTTATTTATTTTGTACCACTAATTAGTTGTATGGTGCACATTAAATTTTATAAAGGTTATAAAGTCAAATAATGTTATGAATGTAGATAATTGATCACATGCATAAATTTGAGCTATGTAAGATTTTAGATGAATTGACCAATGATGATTAAAATGAAGACCACATAATGACTACAAAAAACTAGTATTAAGTTGGCAAAATCACAAAAACTCATCTACAATATAATTGACTTGCAAATTTGTAGAACCCTATTATATCTAATTAATTCCTTACTATATAAATACTTTGTTTGAGGTCATATTTAAAACCTTATTAGTTACTTTATTCACAAAGAATACAATTTAAGATTCGTTCATTTGTTGCAATTTTTACAACTTAATTAATACACCAATTATACTTACAAAATCTATATGCTAATTTTTAAAATTTTTTTATAGAAAATATGTTAATTTTAAATTTTTATTAATTTAAACATAAAATATAAAAGAAGTCTAAAAATTAGTCTTTAAATATTATTATTATTTTAAAATATATATTATTTAAAAAATTAGATGTCAATCTAGAATATCATTGCAACTAGCTAATGTAGTTTTTGAGTATTATTTATTTTCATAAAAATTATATAATCCTACTTATATTATAAAATAAGAATGAATATATTGCAAGAAATTTTTTTAGATTTAATCTTGGTTTAATTCTACCTAATTATCTTTCTAAATAGTTTTTTAGCCATTTGAATTATTTAGAAACAAGAGTATTTTCTTGATTTGTGTGGATTTACTTTTTAAGGCTTTAAAATTTACCAATTATAATTCAATTAAATTCTTATAGATGTTGGATATTTATTGTGAATATAGTCTTTTTTTTAATATTTAATCTTAATAAAATCTTATATTTTAATTATAAATTATGGTTTTTTTACAAAATCTAATCAATTATTGTACTAAAGAGCATAATCTCATGTCTCCATCAAAATATAAGTAGTGATTAAATATTTGTTTCTAATTTTAAAATAATTCAAATATATTATCTTAATTTAGTTTTATAAAATATAAGATCTACTTAAATTAAAATATAATACACGAAAAAAAATTATGTGGTGATTTAAATTCACCATAAAAAATTAAATAGATACTTTCATAAATTCTATTTATATTAATATTATGTTTTTTATTGATTAGTACTTAAAAATATTCTAATTTATTAAAATTCTCATTTTATAAATTATTTTGATCAATATTAGTATAAATACTAATAATTAATTTTTTCTTGTAGATTTTTTTTCAACAACCATTTTCTATAAATAATATTATTTTATTTGAATCCAGCCATAGAAATATTAAAAATAAAAATAAAAACACACCTAGTAGATTTAAAACATAATCTAATTTAAAATCTAGTAGTTTTAATTCTTTTAATTATTTTTTATAATCTAATTTCAAAGGCAAGAATTCAAAGAATGTAATTAAATAAGGAATAAGTGTTTTAAAAAAATGATAAAAATAAAAATAAAAATATTTATGATGAAGAAGAAACTGGAATAGCTTTTACCAAAGGCAAAAAAAACTATAGACTCTTGAAACTAAACTAGAAGCAAGAAAGGAGTTGATAAGAATGAAGGTCTTATTAATGCTTCTATATATATTGTCTAATTAGAAATTCATAAGAGTGAGGAAGGCCTTATTAATGCTTGTATATATATTATTTAATTAGGAGTTATGTACTAATATACTATAGGACTTCCAATATATGTTCAACTTACAAGACTCTTGTCTAATTTGTAAGTCAAGTTTCCTATATGTACACTATATAGCCAACTTGTATAAGTGGCCAACTTATTAGATAAGTTTTTATCCTAATAATCACCTATAAACAAGTATAAAATTAGGTCCTTGTTAATGAAGCTTCTAAGAAGCTTTTTTATAAGCTATTATCAAATTTTTTTACTTCTACTTATTTTTATTCAATTTTGTTAATCTAAATAATTTCTAAGGTAAATATATATGTCCATGAAATTAGTCCTCTTTTTAAAGATAAGTTCTATAAGGAATAGTGATCATATATAAGAAAAGTCTAACATGTAGTAAATCATATTTGATATATATTTTGATCTTTATTCATATTAGAGGTAGTTCATAGGTCTTCTTAGCCATTAATAGTGTTTCATACCAAGGTGGAAAGACCATCTTCCTATTTGATGATTTTTGAGCCTTACATAACTTCTTTTAAATAAAACATTTGAAATACCATCAAGAATGGTCTCTATTTTTAAAAACATTATTAAACTTTGAGAGTCTCTTCCAAAGTTGTAATACCAAATGCATTATATCTTGCCATCTATTTAAGGAAGAACATGTTCTTGAGAATCTTTATTTGTGTTAACATCATTTTGATGGTTGTAACAATTTAAATGCCTCATTTGATAACTTAAGAAACAAAAGCTTCTAAATTGAATCCACTAATTGTTGATTTTTCATCTTATTAGTGCCAAAAATACAAAAAAAATACAAAAAAATATAGGAGATAAAATGTTATCTTTACAGAACTAATTTTGTTGTACAACAAATAATTTATTAATTTTTTTTATCTTGCTGTTGATAAATATTGTTAATAAAAATTATTAACCTTTTTTTTGTGTTTAAAAGATTCTCAAATAGATTTCTATTGCATTTAATAATATCATATCTGTCCAAATGTACAAAATATTTTAACCTATTTTTGTGCCGCCTTAAATCTAAAATCTTTTCTACCTTAAATTCTTGATTGTTGTCTACTTCTATTAGATAAGGTGGTATTTTTTTTCTTTTTAATATATTAATTATCTTATATGACTTAAGAAAAAATTCATAAAATATGAGATGGATCTTTATAAACTTTGGTAGATATAATCAATATGGCACTAGATTTGTTTGTTCACAAATAAAATAAAGTATAAGTCTATTGTAATTCAACTTGTTACAAGAACAAATAATCTTGATATTATGATAAAATAACCAAAGCTTATCACCAATGTAGAATTGAGATTACAATTTCATTGAAAGATTTTTGATAGCTTCAAATGTTGTCTTATTTAAAATGTCCTACAATAAAAAAGTCATAATTAACTTAAAGAGCTTATAATTGTACTTCACCTTTTTGAACATATAAGCATCTTTTAAAATGGAATAGATTTTTTTTAATTTCAAACTTAAAAATATCATAAGATTTAAGATAATTAATTTTAATATTATGAATAAGAAGATTTGAAGACATACTTAACTGAACTTGATCAAAAAAGATTTGATCAATTTTTAATGTTGATTTCATTGCTTAAAGATGAAATTACTTTAGCTTCAAGAAAATCATCTATTTTTTTATTAAAAGTTATATTTTGTTCTTTAAATATAATATAATAATATTTAAAGAAGATATTTAATAAATCTTATTATTTTTTTGGCCAATAAATAATATTAAATAGAAATCTTAATAAAGACATACATATTTAGAGCTAGCAACAATTCAAAATTTATATTGATATAAAATACTAAAGATTCTTATAATTTGTATATACAATTAATGGACTAGAAGTGCCTTCTAGATAATAACATTATTCTTCAAATATATCCATAATTACAAGAAATTCTTTATCATAAATTTTATAGTTAATTTTATTTATTAAAAATTACAAAAAAATCTATAAGGTGAGGTTTTTCATTTGTTCCTATTTATAATATACTACACAAAAGGAAAAGTTTGATGCATTTTTTTCATATAAATTTCTTTAAAAAAATCAATGCAATATATGATTGATGCAAATATAATTTTTTTTTTAAAAAAAAATATTAATTTAACTACTTTATTTCATTCAAATTTGTTTTACTAGTTACTTGTATAAGTAGAGCATCAACTTGAAAAATATTCTTAATAAAGATTTCATAGTAATTGGAAAATTTCAAAAAATATAAGATATTTTTTCTTATTCTTAAATTCTTTCAATCTATGATAGTTTGAACTTTTTTGAAATCTATCATAAGACCATCATTTGAAATGATATATCTTAAGTTGTTAACTTAAATTATATAAAATACATACTTCTCTATCTTAATTTATAGTCTTGCATCTCTAAATATTTATATTGTATATTAAAAATAAAATTTATATTTTTTATATTCTTAAAATAGATCTAGATATATATATATATATATATATATATATATATATATGTAACAAAATCATCTAATTTTTTTTTTAAAATCATTTATAAAATATAAAACAATACTTGATATATTCTTGAATCCAAAAGGCATATTATTGTATTCAAAATATTTATACATTTTTTAAATTATAGTCTTCTATTTACCTCTTTTTTTTTAATACTTATCACATTATATGCTCTTATAGATTTATTTTTATATTGATCGTGGCTTAATTTAATTGATCTTGAAGTCTTACTATCAAAAATAAAGAGTTCATATTTTTAATGATAACTCTGTTGATCCTTCAATAGTCTACATACATTTGCAACAAACTCTCTTAAATTCATCTAATTTATTTTATAATAAACAGTAGATTGATTCAAATAATAATTGAACTCTTTCTTGAAGTTTAATTGACCAATTGTAATGACAATG